AATGTCTTCTGTTTCTAAAATTCACCATTATGATTCATCTTCTCCATAATAAATAACCATGTTTCCATTAAGTCAATTCTGAGTTATGTTGACCCTTTCCAGGGTTTTCCAGGTAGAGAGCTATCAAAGGTGGTATACCATTCTCTTCTTCTGCCATGGCTCCCTGGACCTGTGGAGCTTGCCCAAGGTTACACAGGCTGCCTCTACTCCCAGGAGGCACAGTGGGGAATCAAACTCAAAAGCTCTGACTTTTCAGCCAGATACCTAAACCACTGAGCAAGCCAGCAAGCCAGTCGTCTTCTCCAGAGGTGTGCATAGCTGTGGTTTTGTACTACAATACCCAGAATTCCCCAGGCGGTATGGCCAATATTGACTGTGGCTAAGGAGTTCTAGGAACTGCAGAACAAAGGCTTAAATATATACACCTCTAACCAATGTGAATTTCCTGGCAAAGTCAGAAATGTTGTATTGCTATACACAGGAGCTGATCCAATCAGATTGATACATATCCTACTGTACAATAATACTATGGGTACAGGTGTCTTATGAATAATGTTCATGTAACTGTTGCAAAAAAAGTGGGTCAGCAGCAATAAACCAGGCCAGTGCATGAAGGATGGAGGGGGAAAGGGGCAACCATATTAAGATTTCTCCTTTAACGCAATCAAACTAAACTGAAAAACAAAGAATACCCTGGAATGGAAATAAACTATTTTGTTAATCTTTGGAGAAGGGAGTGAGAGTAGTCATATTGACTAGATAGGCGGGGTACAAATGGATTTGTTTTTTTAATGTGCTAATTGAAATTACAGCAATCTTTCAAAGAAAATGTGTGCGTTTCTATTCTTGAACTTTCATTTGAAATGGATCACAAATAGCAGAGAAACTAAAATGTCAATTTCAAGATCTCTTACAAGTGAGAACATAATTTCCACAGTCCAGTAATTCCCTACTTATACAAATTTTCCTATTCTTAAATAAATGGTGTGTTTCACAAAATGTTGAAGGATATTGAATCTTTTGAAAGATCCTACCAAACTGTGTAAACTTCTCTCAATTTGCAAAGCACAGTCAAATATTTCCTATTCATGAACTAATTCCTCTACCAGATTCCCACAGTAAATCTGTTTATAGCAATTTTGAAGTGCACTAAGCAAAATCAGCTTTCAATGCAACAGTGTTAGTCTGTATTCATAAAAATGTAGAAGGTGTTGTTTTTGTATGTTTCTTTAGGGGGCTTGTGAAAGAACAGCCCCTTTTAACAAGTGTATCTGTCTTAATATTTTTAACAAGTGCAGAGGCTTTTACAGGTACACTGTTCAGTGCACTGACATCAATTCCAGCTAATGGGTTCAGAACGCCTTTAAATCTGGAACCTATCAGCTCTGTTGATTAATGTGAGATAAAAAACAGATGAGATTAATTATATAATGGTCTATATGTTTTGAACAATTGAATGGCATAGGAAGCAGCTTCACATGAAGTCAGACCTTGGGGAATGATAACCAATACTAATTTTATGGCCAGTGCCTTTTCACATCCATCCACCTGAGACACTTTTCAACTGCAGAAGTCAGGGGCTAAACCAGGGGCCTTCAATATGGGAAGTACATCTCTGGCACTAAATTAGGTACCTTCCAAGACCACAGCAGGCAGTCATTGATTATGCAACTAGATGATTCCATATGAATTGCAAAATAATAGTAATCACCATAAGAACAAGCAAAATGTTGAAGATAATTTTTTAAAAAAAGAGGAAATGCTTTACCAAACCAGAAGACAAAGGAGTCATAGATTTACATAAAATTTGCATATGTTACTTTATATGGATTGATGCAGATTTGGACATGAGAATTATACCTGCATGACGATGATAATCTGTCCCATAGAAACCACTGTTTAGCGAAATCATCGTCATGCGAAAACCATTTCCCCATTGGAATGCATTGAAACCCGTTTAATGTGTTCCAATGGGGAAAATACCTTGTCGTTTTGCGAAGATCGCCCATAGGGCATCCATTTTGCGAAGCGCCTATCAGCAGTAAAAATGGCTGTCCTGCGAAGCATCGGTCCAGAAAACACAGGACAGCCATTTTGCGAAGCCGCTGAGCAGCTGTAGAAATCGTCGTCTTGCGAACAAACGGTTCACGAAGCACGGACCAAATCGTCATCAAGCGAAAATCGCCCATTGGAATGACTGTTTTGCTAATTACTATAGCGATCGCAAAAAGTCATTGTTATGCAAATTCATCATTTAGCAGGGTCATCGTCTAGCGAGGTACCACTGTAATTTAAAGAGAAATAACAATACATCTCACCAAAATGAGGTAGACTGTGTACCTGATCCAACATCTCTCCTGGTGCTAAGCGTTGGTAGGTAGCTTCAAGACCTTTGTTTTTCCTTTTAAAATGAAGTCCATGCATTAGTACCACGATGAGTAAGAAGTCAACATTTATAGGAGGTGCACTGACTAAGATGGTACTGTATATTGGAATTTGAAGTTCTAGGTCTCAACTGGGTTTTATTTTCTATCAAAATAGAAAGTGAAGTCTCATAAAGCTGTGTCTGTTTTCAGTAGAGGCTGAAGACCACCTATGAATATCATTTACAACATATAGTATATTTTTTCTGTAAAGAGAAAAATAGTTATTCATTTACTTTGACTAGACATTTAAAGAGAAAATGCCTTCTAACAGAGAACAGTCCTTGCACATCTTTTCAAAATGAAGAATGCCCTCAAGCAAGTAGAGCACACAACCACTTCTGTTGTATGTATAGCTAGATCTTTTGCATAGAAGTCTTGTAAAGCTCAGAAAAACTCAAAGCAAAGTGTGCTGCTTGTATACTGTCCCATAGCACTTAAAGCACTCTTTGGATGGATTACAATTTATGCAGGATACACACTGCTCCCCCCCCCCAGTGAGCTGTCTACTCATTTTAACAACCTCAGGAGGATGGAAGGCTGGGTGAACCTTGCTCTGGATACCTAGGATTGAGCCCTGGGTTATGAGCACAGTTTTGGCTGTATTACAGCAGTTTAACCACTGCATCATAAGGTATCACTTGCTCTCGGACATAAGCTAGTAAACAATTACATTATGAAAAGGGGGTTGTGTGCCTGAAGCTTAGCATGTCCTGAACGTATACAGAGAGAGAGAGAGAGTTCTGTGGACAAAACAACACAGTTTTTATTGGCTTCAGCAGTAGCATCCCTGGCACAAATCCTGTGCATCAGAAGATCTGAGTTTTCTAGATAGAGAGTACATAAAAGTGGCTTACCATTCCCTACTTCTGGGGGCATCCTGGGACCACGCAGCTTGCCCAGGTCCAGACGGACTGGCTCTTCTAGGATGCATAGAGAGCTGAACTTACTAAACTATCCAGCCAGCTATCTTTATGTTGGAGAAGCACTATTCTTTGAAAGAGGGGGGCTGTTGTATCCAGGTGGCCTGTCCTCTTGAATCACCCTCTTCCCAAAATGTGGTTCTGGCTCCTGTAGAGACTAGAGCAGGGATCAGGGAACTTTTTTACCTTTTATCCCCCCCCAAAAATTTATATACGCCGACATTACCCCCTTGAAAGAAAGGAAATCATACATTATTTGAATTCAAAATCTTATTGAATCTATTCAAAATTACTTTGAAAGCTTCAACTGTCTTGAAAACTTCAGGTTTTGGAGAAATGATGTTGCTTCATCGTGGATATGAGAGCATCGATATTGGGGCTCTGCTCATCCTCATTACCCCCAGGATTTTCATTTTTACCCCATTTGGAGTAATTTACCCTTGTTCCCTGACCACTGGAGTAGAGGTTAACCAGGCACAGCAGCCTTCCTGGCTTTGGACAGTTGCATTTCTGGAGCTAATTTGTGTGTGGATCACATTCATTTTAATGTGCGCAGTCACCATTCACCATACATTTTAAACCACACCATATATTTTAGACAGAACAAACTGTCGGAATTTTATCTGCAACCTTGCATGCAGTCTGTAGTTTGTGTGACTGGGAGGGAATTTTCTGGGTGGAAGTGGTTATCTATCCAGCATTAACCAATCATTCCTTTAATACTTTGATTCAAAAAGAACCCTGCCCCTCTGCTGATTGTTCAGTTGGTGGTGCCAGTTGTTTCTTTGCTGTTCATCTGTTCACTTAGTTGCCAAGTAGGTGTGCAGGGAAGAAGGCTGCATGTACAAGTCTGTAATTCCAACAAACTGTAAGTAAATAAATGTTTTTATTCATTTTACTGCAAATGTATCAAAATGAGTTATTAAGACTTTACATGCCAGTTAATGAGAAAGGAGTGAACTCTGGCAAACTTGTAGTTACATTCTCTTCTGTGGCTTGCTGTACTTCTAGTGCATAGCAAAAGGAAATTTTTACCAGAAATTTAAAACTCTGCAACATGAATAGCAATTCAATTGCAAATAATAAGAAAGCAAGGTTCTTTTGCATGCTATGAGTTTATCATACCTTCTCATTTAACCTTGAGATACCCATCAAAGCTCATCCACAAATTCAACAGTGGATAATCAGGAGATTTATGTATGTGTAGAGCACCCTACAGAGGTTCAGGTAACAGATTAGAATCACTGGAGCGAGTGGAGGAAAAGGCACTTTTAAAGTAATGTTTCTCTTTGTAAACTAATTCTAGCACTAATCCAGATTTTATTTGTGTTTTTCCATGCTTTCTAACATGTGTTTCTAGCTGTGTGCAGGTGTGTTTGTTTTATTGTTTGTTTTATTGCTGAACACTGTGCAGTTTATCCTATTGATGCAGCAATGAATATATATTACAGAGTTATTCTTATTTTTTTTAAAAAAAAAATCCACAGCTTAAAAATGTTTTCTTACATAATTCCATATGCACTTCCCACAAAGAATACTCCATCTAGGGGATTTTAGACCTCCCTTCATTTCCACATACTTTCCATGCCTGGAATATGGTTATTTTTCTTTTTTCTTTTTCTTTTTTTAAACACGTAATTCTGCAGCAGTTTCCCAGCCGCTTTGCCTGATGTATTTCAAATGTTCAAGTAAGAAGCTGCCAGCTATCAAGACCACAGAAAATGCAAGGTGAACATATTTTCAAAACCAGGAGGGAAAATAATTCCATGGCATTGATGAAAGAAAGAAATATCATCAGCATCTCACAAGCCACTAGGAAGGTATGGATGGGAGACAGTTCAATATTTTGCTTTGTCATCATGCTTCAGTCATGGTTCCCATGAAACCATATATACATGGAACATGCCCCGGGTCAATCGAAAATCCATGTGACTTTGTAGGGGATTAATTTCCAAATACTGTATAATGTAGCTGCTAAGAGGCTGAGAGGCAGCTAAGGAACTTCAAGGTTTGAGTCTTTTTCTTGCTAGGTGGCTGTGGGCAATCTAGTATCTCAGTTTCAATACCAAACTGCCTGTTACTTCAAAGGCTGAGGCCTACATCTAATTGGCAGTCCCAGTTAGGGTAGACCTCTTGAATCAATAAAACAAAAAAAAAATATTTTAAGTTCCATTGATTCAATTACTCAACTCTAGATGCAGATATTTGGATTTAGATCAGCAATCTTTTTTTTTAATTGCTTTAGAATAAGCACAGGGAATAGGATCTGGACCAAGGACCTTGTGTGAGTATAGGATTCTTGATAGAAGAGGGCAGATCTGTCTTCCTTGGGAACAGAGATGGGCACAAGCCACCAAAATGCCGATTCATTTTTGGTTCATGGTTTGTTGAAGTCCATGAACCACAAACAACAAATTTACTAATTTTTCCCAAACAAACCCGAATTGGGTGTTCGTTTGTTCAGATATATTTTTAAAAAAATTAGTGGCTATCTAAAAAAAAAAAAACCCACAACAAGCCGGCCACCTCCCCGCCCTCACAGCCTGCAGCCCACTCCCTTCCCACTGCCCGGTTTCATCTCTACCTTTTCCTCCGGCTGCCTCCTCCTCCACCACCGTGGCTGCCGCTGCTATTGAGAGGCCACTGCTCCTGTGCATATCCCCACCTCCCAGCTGAAAGGCAAGGACATGTACAAAGGATGCTCCACCAGTTGACAGGCTGGCTAGCTAAATAATAGTAGTAATAATAATATATATTTTTAAATATTATTATTATTTTGTTAACCGGCCTGTCAGCTGGCTGGGGGCCATCACTACATGTCCATACGTTCCAGCTGAGAGGTAGGGACATGTGCAAAAGTCACCAGCCTGCGGCCGGACTTTCAAGATGGCAGTGGCAGCAGAGGAAGGGGAGACAGTGTCAGGAAAAGGTAGGGAGGCAATGGGGGCAGTGGGAAGCGGGCAGAAGCAAGCTGTAGACAACGAACCAGGAGGTTAGCAAATCCTCAAAAATGTGTTGGTTCAGAAAAGTTCAGGTTCTCCAGTTTGGATGAACCTGAACCAATCCAAATCAATGAAATAATGTTTTTTGACGAATGTCCTGATTTCTTTTTAGCTTCGTGTCCATCTCTGCTTGGGAATTCTAGAAGCTATGGTCCAAAGACACAGGTCTGTACTCTTGGTTTTAGCCTTTTGCCAGAACTGTGGTTCCTATTTGGATAACTACGCCCATCTCTGCAATTTATATTGCTGCCGAATGGTGCATGTGTTCAAATTTATCATTTTTTAGAAACATAAACTATAGCATTAGCTGGCAGAGTGATCTTGACTGGATCAAAATCACTGTAACCTCTGAAACTAGAGTTCTGATCAGAACATAAAAGTATAAAGCTTTAGCTACATCCAAAATAACATTCAATTCACCCTCCAAATTTATTAACAGATGACAGCATCTCTTCCTCCTTCTCCTCACATTATTTTCAACTTAGTGGTTGTAGCTCCCAGGTCACTATGTATAGCTAAGGAGCTGCATTTGACACATCACAATTTGTAACAGTCTCAAGTATCAGAATATTAATCTATTATAAACAATAGATTGCAATAAGATCACATTCCTTCATTTGCCATTTTACATCCCTTCCTGATAGTGGAAGGCGTTTTTACGGGAAATAAACACTCTAGTAATGCCTGCCAGAAGTGTCGGGTGGGCATCAGTGAGTGGGTCCTTGTGTTGGATATTTATGGGTGATTTAGTCTGGTTTCTCATTGGCTGTCAATGTTTAAGAAGGACCATTAATGCAATTAACTGGTAAGAATTTACTGACAAGAAAATCTGCACAGTCAACCCATATATGATTTGTTAAAATGTATTTTTTCAGGTGAAACTATAAACTAGGTTTCCAATTAAGCTCATTTTTTCCTGAGGTTTTGTATGCACTGCCCGGCGAAGGAGAGTTGCATGGAAACACACATTATGGTATAAAGAGAGTGAATGAATGAGTCTAATAAACCATTCTGTTTAGGATTCAGCTATAATCTTCACCTTAGTACCATGGGGAATGGGGCAAATTAAAAATCTATTATGAGTCTAAGCAAAGAGAAAACTCGGGTTCGCTTAAACTTTATGAAACAGGAGCTTCAAAACTGTTGGAGAAAAATGTGCTGGTAATTACCTGGGACAAATCCATGACTGATAAAATAGTGCTAACTCTAAACTGGTCATAAAAGTTGGGGGATTCTGGGAACTCTAGTCCAAAAGAGTAATTTTCTAGAACTAACTTAATTTTGCTTAGACACAATTGACTTAATTTTGCTTAAACACAAACCATTAACATCATTTCAAGTTAGTATTAACTAATTTAACCACTATTGGTTCTAATGAATTTACTCCAATTACAATTAGATTTGGATCCATCTGACAGTTTTGTCATGCCAATATTTTATTATATATAAATCATTTGCCTTGCTTTCCTCGATCATGAGCTGTGGGGATGTACAGCTGCACAAATACGTAGATGTCATAACCAACTACTTTTGAGCAAATCCATATGGGAGTTGTATGCTACTGAAAGGTAAATTATATTCCTATTCTGCACCTGATATTCAGTTGACGCACATCAGTACCCAGTATGGGATGCATAATTCTTTGAGTTTAGTCATTATGTATACCACAATTAAACTGGTGAGATATAAAAAACCTTGCCAAATTTTGATCCAGTAATCCATCATGTGGAACCCACTTTTATGCAACAGTCCTTCACTCCCTTGTTTGGCAGGCAGTGCCACCTATGCTGTCATCATTCATGTCGACAGTGACATTTCTCTGTGGGCATATTCCTCAACTCTCCTTCTGTCTGCTGTCACTGGATTGCTGTCATGTGAATCTCTGGTCTATGCACATTTCAACATCTCATCTCCTGGCCGCTGGTGGTGTCAATGTGTCGATGTTCACATGTGATGGAGGAACACATGAATGATTATCCAATGATAATATACTGGGGAAGGGAACAGGAGACACACATTGGTCATAGTACAGTAATATTGGATTGCATAAAGATATTATAATGTTACTGTGCTGAACAATTTTTATGTGTTTAGTCGTTTAGTCGTGTCCGACTCTTCGTGACCCCATGGACCAGAGCACGCCAGGCCCTCCTGTCTTCTACTGCCTCCCGGAGTTGGGTCAGGTTCATGTTGGTTGCTTCGCAGACACTGTCCAGCCATCTCATCCTCGGTCGTCCCCTTCTCCTCTTGCCATCACACTTTCCCAACATCAGGGTCTTTTCCAGGGAGTCTTTTCTTCTCATTAGATGGCCAAAGTACTGGAGCCTCAGCTTCAGGATCTGTCCTTCCAGTGAGCACTCAGGGTTGATTTCCTTTAGAACTGATAGGTTTGTTCTCCTTGCAGTCCAGGGGATTCTCAAGAGCCTCCTCCAGCACCACAATTCAAAGGCATCAATTCTTCAGCGGTCTGCTTTCTTTATGGTCCAGCTCTCACTTCCATACATCACGACAGGAAAAACCATAGCTTTGACTATTCGGACTTTTGTTGGCAAGGTGATGTCTCTGCTTTTCAAGATGCTGTCCAGATTTGTCATCGCTTTCCTCCCAAGAAGAAGGCGCCTTTTAATTTCAGGGCTGCTGTCTCCATCTGCAGTGATCATGGAGCCCAGGAAGATAAAATTTGACACTGCCTCCATATCTTCCCCTTCTATTTCCCAGCAGGTGATGGGACCAGTGGCCATGATCTTAGTTTTTTTGATGTTGAGTTTCAGACCGTTTTTTGCACTCTCCTCTTTCACTCTCATTACAAGGTTCTTTAATTCCTCCTCACTTTCTGCCATCAGAGTGGTATCATCTGCATATCGGAGGTTGTTGATATTTCTTCCGGCAATCTTAATTCCGGCTTGGGTTTCTTCCAGTCCAGCCTTCCGCATGATGTATTCCGCATATAAGTTAAATAAGCTGGGGGACAATATACAGCCTTGCCGTACTCCTTTCCCAATTTTGAACCAATCAGAGATAACCGCCTGATTGGTTTTGGTTAAAGAAAAGATATAAAAAACTAATCAAGGAGAAAAAGAATTTGGCATTGTCAATTAATTTCTGCCAACTCATCCTCAATGCCAAATTCTTTTTCCCTTCATTCTAAAGGAAATCAACCCTGAGTGCTCACTGGAAGGACAGATCCTGAAGCTGAGGCTCCAATACTTTGGCCATCTCATGAGAAGAGAAGACTCCCTGGAAAAGACCTTGATGTTGGGAAAGTATGAAGATAAGAGGAGAAGGGGACGACAGAGGACGAAATAGATGGACAGTGTCATCAAAGCTGCCAACATGAATTTGACCAAACTCCAGGAGGCAGTGGAAGACAGGAGGGCCTGGCATGCTCTGACCATGGGGTCACGAAGAGTCGGACACGACTTAATGACTAAACAACAACAAAATTGTAGCATCAAGGTCACATGGCTCTGTTACTTTCTGGGAGGGTTCAATGGTCAAGTAGGTGCAGCAGATTCATGCATACCTGTTAAGATCTGGGAACTATATTTCACTGGTCTGTATGCTGCAAAACAATCTGGACATTTGATTCCAGAAATCACATCCTGTGATCTTCCTGACTGGCCCCCAGTTTCAATCTCTGAAATTACCAGACTTATTGCTATGCTTAAAGTAGGCAAAGCACCCAGGAGTGATAACATTCCTCCTGAGAGTCTTAAAGCCAATATTAATTGGTGGGCTCCAGTATTAGCAACACTGTTTACATGCATTGACCAGCTGACATGATTCAAAGTAGTCTAGTTGATGCGGGGAAAAAACCCCATAGGAATGCATTAAAACACATTTAATGCTTTCCTATGGGGGAAAAACTCACCGCTATGCAGAAATCCTCCATCCAGCCGCCATTTTCGCTGCCCGGTAAGCGAGGACAGGGCGCGAAAACGTTGCGGGCAGCCATTTTGGAACCACCGATCAGCTGTTTTTAAAACACCGCAATGCGGAGATCGGTAAGCATTTCACGATGTTTTCCCTATCTAAAAAACGTGTCGCTATGCGGATTTGTCGTTAAACGGTGCGCTCGTTAAGCAAGGCACCACTGTATTATTGTCAGTCGTTTTGATACATTTTTACTAGAAAGGTGAGAGAGTAAAATAACAAAATAATGCACACATCACCCACACCAACTTCTGATTTGCATGTAATTCAAGAACACAGTGAGATAGGAGATTATCTGCCTATAATTATCATAGAATCATAAAATAGATTTGGAAGGGGCCTATAAGGCCATTGCGTCTAACCCTCTGCTAAATTCAGGAAGCCAAATCAAAGTAGATCTGATAAATGGTTGGCCAATTTTCTCTTGAATGCCTCCAAGTAGCTCCTATTGATGAAAAATCAACTAACAGTTCTGGATCATTAACCAGCAATCTGTCTAAAAGAAGTGGTAGTTAATCATACCTGTATGGTGCCAGGGGTTTACTTTTCAGGGATGATATCTGTTTGTATGCTATGTATATTAACCAGCAATTAACAAAAGATCTGTAATCAAACTGGTATTACCACTGAAAGAAAGCTGAATACATACATTATTTGTGAAATCAATGGAGAATACTGATAGTAAATGGCTGGTGCTATGCAGTCAGCCAGAGGGATGGTACTGTGAATGCATATTCATAGTTTTCAGATGCTGCTGCCAAAAATATGTACCACTGGAAAACATTTAAGTGCTGCAGCCAATGGCCAAGCCAATACTGTAGTTGGAGACTGCAAGAAATCCAGTAGTAAGATATTATAATGTCACAATTAGAGTAGGCCCATTGAATCAGTGGCAATTTGATGAGTCAATACCTATGCAAATTCCATTGATTTAACTGGCTTACTATAGATGAGATTTGCTACTGGATGTCAGTCTCTATTACCCTGCTTGGGTAATAGAGACTGAAATCCAGTAGCAAATCTCAGTAGGGTTATTTGGAACCCTATTACCCAAGCAGGGTTCCAAATGTGGGTTGTTCACATACTATGCATATAAACCAACAATTAACAAAATATCTGTAGTTAGTTTGCATTGTCAGATCAGTTTGCAGGACTCAACCTCAAATCAACACTGCTGTCTGAACCAAGAGAAAAAGTTCCAATGGCTGCACCAGTTGGCAGAAGACATGAGAAGGGGGTGGCTGACAGTCTGGAAACCTTAAGCACATTGTCCATTGGACAGTAGCTGATTCCTCATTACTGCATGTTGGTGGAGAACTGTGGAGCAGCATTGTAAATAGTTCCTAATATAGGTTGTGCTCATTGTTTGCAGACCGACTCTAAGTTTCCTGATTGATGATGGAAGACACCAGGGTGATCCCCACCCCTTTGGAGGAGGTTTACCCCTTCACATGCCTTGGCTGAAGGCATAGAATCGCTGGTGTTTAAGTGCATGCAGTAGCCAACTCACCCAGATTTGGTGCAACATCTAGTGCAGTGGTCCCCAACCTATTCCACACCGCAGACCAGTTGGGGGAGGAGAGGGTCTATGTGCTGGGAAGGCAGGGCACCCCGCACTCGTGTGCATGCACAAACAGGCAGGGTGTACTCACGCGTGTGCATGCACAAAGGGTGCTTGCATGGGCACAGGTGCACTCACGCGCAGGAGCAAAGAGGCAGAGGGGCACTCACGCAGGTGGGCGCACACTTGCATGCATGCGCAAAGGGGCAGGGGCGCTTGCAGGGGTGTGCACACACTCATGTTCATGAGCAAAGGGGCTGTGGGGGGGAGTGCATGCAGGGGTGGGTGGGAGATCTGCCTCTGGGGCGCAGTCCAGCCCGGGCCATGGACGGGCACCAGGCTGCAGACAGGGGGTTGGGGACCCCTGATCTACTGCATCTTAGGGGGGAAAACACTACATATCAGATGTTTTATTTTTAATTTTTTTAATACCCTTATTTCTACATGAGTGTATGAAAAGAAGAATATTGGGGGAAAGCACATATATAAAGCATGAGGATTGTAACATGGGGATCCAAAATAACTGAATAATCGAGACAGAAATGCTGCATGTATTATTTTTCCAGAACAATCTTTTCCTCCTAACTTGGGTATCTCCAGATATGTTGGACTACAATTCCCATCACTGTCAGCCACTATTGCCCTTTATTAGCTGGCTGGTTATGATGGGAACAGCTATCTAAAAAGTAACTTCACCAAATTCTGATAAACCCTGACTGCCACATGTTGAATCCTCAATATATGTTGCAGTTGGCTCATCCATGTGAATCTCACTATATTCAATGCTTCTCTGAACAAAGATTTAAATACAGGGCCTAAATCCAACAGCTAGTCCCAGCTAGATGAGACACACTAAATTTGCTGCTGAATGATAAGACAACATCCCACTGTTTCAGTGGGTCTACTGTAGTTGGGACTAACAAGTGAATGCAGGTCCAGGCTTCCAAAATAGATAGTATGAAACATTGTTCCTGGCTCTGTGACTTGCATACCGTATTTTTCGCTCCATAAGACGCACCTTTCCATAAGACGCACCAATTTTTAGGAGAAGAAAACAGGAAAATATAATCTGTTTTCTTTGCTCCATAAGACGCACAGACTTTCCACCCCCCTGTTTTGTGGGGGAAAAGTGCGTCTTATGGTGCGAAAAATACAGTACTTGATTGTGGAGGCAGAGGTCAGCAATTTGATACTTCATTGTGCTTCCTGGGAGAACAGCCAGCCTGTGTTACCTTGGTTAAGCTGCATTGCCCCAGAATGCCCCCGAAAGAAGGCAATGGTACATGATTTCTAAGTACAGTATCTATGCCTGGAGAACCCAGGAAGGACACCATAAGCTGGAATCTACTTGAAGACACATAATTAATTAAAGCTATGCATACATATCATATTCTTTGTCATCAATTAATTTAATAAGCACTAGGGCTGGCCATCTTTTATAAGTATTCTAAACAGGTCCCATGGTAAGTAGTAATGTGAACTCATTTGCCCGAAGTACAGCAACGTATTGCCCTCCAAGGGTTAACACACCATCATTTTCACTAGCAAGACTTTTTAAAAAGTGGAGGAGAGGGAGCACAAATCCTGCCACTCAGGTTTTCAAGTATCATCCACATAATACATCCAGTTTCTTTCAGATTGGAGAAAAGGGGGGCCAAACCTGGAAGACAATGACTGAAAGAACCTCTCAAGTTGACATCACAAAACAATGCAATACTGTCCTGTGATTGGCTGAATGGGCTGGTAAGGACTCATTCCTGTTTCTGGATACAAAAACAAGTTGGCCCCCTTCAACGCAGACAATCTTGTCTTATCATGGCAGTAAGGGCGATGAAAGGCCACAGAAAATGAATAAAACATTAGGATATATCTAGTGCACCCAGCTGTCCTGGGCAAAAAGGCTTCCCTTGGGTATAGTCAGTTCGGAGAGCTTCCAGATCAGCTCAGGTGCCACTTAACCAACAATCTTTAAAGTACAAGTCTTTTCCCAAGACAAATGAAATGCACACTATTGCATCTGATGGCGACCATACAAGGAACAAAATATAAATGTTGAGAAACTTGTTGTTGCAATACAGGTGGGGTAAGATGGAAAATGCAGAATTGCTCCCATCTCTTTGGTAAAGATTTTAAACACTTGATCCCCCCCTCCCACTTTCCTTGTTTTCCCCTCATCACACACTACCAACACAGACACACAGACACACACACATATCATTGCTGACAGGTATGAAACCCCAGTGGCGTTGGTAATCAAGTAGTTAAATCTACCTCAGCACTAATAGCCATGAGCTCATCTTGTATAAGCACTTTTTTTTTTGCGTTAAAACCCCACAATCTCGGAAAAAATGCTAGCGCTCTTAAACAGCCTGGCTCAGAATAACTCACAATATGACGCATACCACAGGAAATAAAGTGGTATGAGGCACCTACAAAATATTTTTCAAACAAGGCATTGAAGCCGTAAGCCCCATGCCTCAGCTTTTAGGAAGTCACTTATTAAGAATCAACACCAGCCGTGCCAAGCTAAGCTCTCGCTCTTGGTGATTTTCCAATTGAATATTCAGGGCCCCGTCTCGGCCTTGTTTTCAGGGAAGTACATGCTTGGAATGTTAGCAAGCTATTTGCTGGAGGGAGAGAGAGGGAGGAAGGGAGAGAGGTGGGGGCAAGTGCCCACAACAGGCCCAATGTTGATCACATTAATGCATTTGAGAGTGGGTATAGAGTACAAATGATTGAAAGTACTTCCAGATCTTGGTTGCTGGGGGACAAAGCAGACTCTGTTCTCTGATCTGATGGTCATATTTTTCAGGGGAGGATGTGGTGCAGGAAGAGGGAACACTGCCAACCCCTGTCTGAGGGTTCCAAACAGGGCCGAGGCCTAGCTCCTTGGCCGTTGATGAGTGGGAAATGAAACACAGATGGGTCAGATGGGTGAGGAGAGGGGGGATTACAGGTCAGGCCAAAGAGTTGGAATAAATTACGTGCCTATGAGGTACAGAATGGAACACTGTGAAACCAAAATGAACAAGGGAAGGAGGGAGGGGAAAAAGACATTTGAACATGGCTAGGCAAGGAAAGCAGAAGAGGCGTACCTTCCCTCTCTTCCCCGACCCCGGGAGACTCATACCATCAACATTTATCCTGTGCACTGCTCACTATCATGAGGGCATGTGATGGAACACAGTATTCTGTAGTCCATGGGGAACTGCATAATTTATGCAGGAAACACTTTAGAGGTATTACATAGTGAGAGTAAGAGTGAAGGTAGAGATTATGAGAACTGCAGGGTTCAAACCAAAAATCTGCAGCTCCATCCTCTCTCTCTCTCTCTTTTCAGAATAACATGGAGGAAAGCAACATGTGATGTCACTGCTTTCCCGTTTGCATATGCCACATTCAGCATTCATTAAGTGCTTGGAGTGAAAGATTCCCGGTATGTATCATGCAACTGCCCAGACCGCGAGCATCTGAGAGCAAAACAGCCTTCATGCACTTCCTCCCTACTGCAGTTTCAAAGCGCACTTAATTGAGTTTTCATGGTCTCATTACATTGTTCTAAATTTATGAAAAGATGACACAAGGGAGCTTGGGAAATGTGCTAGGCCATTCACACTGAAACATTCTCCTCAGGAGGTTACTCTCTGGATTTTGACATGGTGTTGGAGGATCGTTTACAGACCTGGTGGCTGATGAGCTGAAAAACTGGGGAAGGTGCCTACTTTCTCAGTCCATAAGCTCCTTGTGGCTTTCAGGCAGAGTAAAAATTCTTTCCCAACCACATAACTCCGGGGTATATATTGCCTCAGGCACAAAGCCTTCTAACCAGGCAAGGAATGAAATACATGTACCTTCTTGTTGAAGACTCGTGTAGTGTCCTGGACTTCCATTGATCTGAAGTCTTCTACCTAATGTCAGTGTGTATTTCCTCTCTTTACTCCCCAACAATATAAAAATTTTGTGGTGCAAGAGCTTCCTATCTACCAAGAACCATTTTTTCCATGTTTTTAAAAGCACCAATGTTGGTTTTGAACCAGCACAGCATGAATACTTTCATACAATTTGATGAAGCTGGTTTGGCTGACTGTGGAGTGTTTTGACCTGCTGAATAATAAGAAAGCCTGTGGGACAATGCTATATCTTGGCAGGAAGTTGTTGTCACTCTGCATTTGCACTTCAGCCATTGGCCAGGTGCCACAACCACAGTCTTGTTTGAGTGGTGTTAAGCCTTACCACAGCCATTCCCTGATGCCATGTCTGATACCCACTGCTATCTGTTGGACCATAAAGCTTTGTCTATCATTTTAGCTCCCTCCAGACTTCTTGGGCCCTAATAAAGTTGAGGTGATTTGGTTGCATGAATTGTGAAGTTAAAAGAAATATGGGGTCTGCGGACTGCCTCTTTTACAAACCACAGCTTCTCTGGGTTTTTTTAATATAAAAAATGAAATAATATAAAAACAAAACATTCCAATGCTGATGCTACAAAACTATTATTGTTTATTGATTGGCTGTGACTATCTTTTCATGTTCAATTATATTAGTAATTCATTTCACTGGGGGCTGGAATGGACAAACCTTCCTATTCTCATCTGTGTTACTTTTTCAGATCACATTTTTTAAAACTCTGAATTCCAAAATATTTTGTTCCCATATTCATCCCATATCCTTTCTAAATATATGTTTAAATTGCCATTTTCTCTCAAAATAGATGCTTAAATGTGTTCAGAAAGCACACCCCCTTGGGAATACCATATTTTTCCATGTATGCTACTTTTCCTAAAACCGTTAGACTAAAATTCCCTGTTGTCTTATACACGGAAATAAGCCGAGGAAAGAACAAAATGGCCCATGCCTTGCCTCTGCAAACAGACTTCCTCAATCCCAAGGCTTAGCTGCCTCCAGTCAGGAGGCTTAGCTTCCTACAATCAGGAGACTTATATAACTAACATCAGCTGATGCTGAACAAACCAATTGCAACAGTGCTCAGATGCAACAGGGATTTGTAATGTCCGAGCGTTCTGAGCCCAGAGGTTGAATAAAATTACAGTGTGATGCGTAATAAGGCAGTACTGGTATGTAAATGTTACCTAATTACTAAATAAAAATGTGTTCTGTTTCATATTTAAAATATTGATTTTTTAAATTTTGGGTTAGAAAAGTGGGGGTGTCTTATACATGGGGGCATCTTATACACAAACAAATACGGTAAGTTGTGTCAGACTCACAATGATGGTAGGTGGGGCCAGAGGTAAACTCAGCCATTTCACTCTTCTGGATTCCTCTCTTTCTGTTTTCCCTCCTCCCTCACCTTACCAAAACTCCCATGTAAGACTGCTGAGAGAGGAAGAATTTGCCCATGCTAGAGGTCCATACTGAACCTTTTCCAGAAGGCTTTGGAAATTAGTCTAAAGACTGCACGTTGCTCTAGGTTCTCAGCCACCAGTACCCCACACTTACTTATGGTACTTAATGGTACTTACTCCCAGGCTTACCATTGAACTCTAAGCAGCTGCATTGAACTGCAGCAACTGCAATTGTTTAAGTGTATTTCTGTTGTTAGCTATCCAAAATCTGTTACATAGCTAATTCTAAACAATGTACCTATCTGTCTTGGCTTTCTTGGCTCACTCTCCCGCAAAACCACTGATTTCAGTCTTAACCACTGTGCTTTCAGTTTCACTTTGTATTGCAAGTGGTGGCCTGCTCCCTCAGCCTCTTATTGATGAAATTCTTGCTGGCTGGCTGCACCCTATGTGCTGTTCTCTCATGACAAACTTTACACATCAGTCTAAAAGGTACCAATAAAAGAATTTAAGTCAAGAATTATAAAGATCCAGTTCCTCAGGCTTTCCTGAATAGAATCCCATTTACACAGGGTAGCATAATTACTTGTATAAAATAGCTCTGCCTATTCTTTCTACATTATCTACTCACCTTTCATAAACTTCTCTCGCACTTTGCTTTCCCTTGTTCTTTTTTCATTGATCTACCTCCTTCCTTATTAAGAGTGTCAAGGGTGAGCAGCAATTATGGAGGGGTGCTATACCCTTATGTCCTGCTTCTTATTTTTAGTTGCCCACTGCAGGACCCAAACATTGGACCAGGTGGGCCTTTCTTGTGTTCTTATCTCTGTACAGCATTGGAGACCAATCCAGAAAAGTGAGGGATCATTTTAATCTTAGTGCTTCAGGAGAGAAAATGTCTGAAGGCATGACAGTTCAAGTGTTCCTCCTTCCCCGAAGTGTCATTTTTGCATTTGCTAACATTTCACGAATGTTGAGATAACCTCCTTGGATAGCTGCAGACGTCAATAAGCGAATGGTGCATCCTTAATGAAAAATCTTCAGAGTATTTTCCAAGAGAGGTGAGGGGAAAACATTCCCAGCTGTGAGATCTGGTCCCTTTCTGGAGAACATCTGGAAATGGCTCTCCAGAGGCTGCATCTGGCTTTGCTTCTCAGCACTCTGTCCCACTGCTGTGGTTCCGTTCTGGCCTTCTGTACTTGCAGTTCAAAGCACATTGAGGCCTGTTAAGGAATTACTGCCACATTGTTCAGCTGGTCACAGTGAACAATATATGGGATCATAATAAGGAACATATTAATGGAAACAGTTTGGTGGAGATAAGCTATTTGACTGCACATGCTTCTTCATGATGGCTTAGTGCCAATACTAGATTTTTAAAAAAGATTAAATGTTTGTTGCCAAGCCTTTTGAACTTGTGGCAGAACATGTG